CATTCCCCTTCTTATAGCTCACCTACAATAAATCTTTTCGGGCTTTTATGGAACACAGCCTATGACACTGTTATCATAATTACCTCTGAATTTATTATTTCTTTAATGCAAGTTGTTCGCATACATTTCACTTGAAGCCAAAGGCTGGTGCTTTCAAACTCACACTGGCAGCTCATAGGGTCTGTGGGTACTATACGGAGCGACTCGTGTGTACAAACTCTCCTACACTTACATTTGACACTATTCTGCTCTCTAATGAGGCGTTTTTGGAATGAAGTCTAACACCATTTGTGTTAAATTTTTAACATTTGTGTTTATTAATTTTATCATAAATGTATACCCCAGGTTATCTGGGTCAGTTCAGATTCTCATTATTCATTTTAAAAGCCATCCATAACCACATGGTCCCTCACATCCCAATTCTACCCCTGAAGTAACACTGCAAACTAGGTTAAAATTTCCTATGCATACAACATCTGTATCCTAGATGAGGGATGGAGAAAAAAAGAGTTCTTCTGTTTATATACAGGAGAAAGAGGCAAAACATGAGGAAGAAAAAACTTTGCTCCACAGAGAACAGATGGAAAGGATCCTAGAAATGTATATACATCTCTCTCCAGTATCTCTGGATTTTATGAAGTATTTTTCCTTAAAATGTACACACATTCTTCCCAAGGCAAGCGTATTTCTCTGGAGACCTCTCACTAGCTATACAGTAAATGAACTTCCCAAGGGTTGTTCTTAGCTGAGGATCCCAAGTTTTCTGCAAAATTTATTCAAAAACTCCAACTCCACAGAAAAACAAGAATATTTTCTCTGTGCCACTCACACACATCTGTCTCAAGAATCAGCACAAGCGACCAACTCACCACCTCTGATCACAGGCTGCCTGAAGTCGCCTCTCTCAATATGTCTAAAAGCCTGGCCTAGACATAAAGACTTTCTATTTCTACTATACGTCATTTCTGGGTGACAGGATGGATTATTGTTCTACCAATAATAGACAATTTTTCAGTAGGTAATAAATAGCTCACATATACTATATATATTTTGGCAAAGTCTTGGCAGTTTTCAGAAGGGAAAAATATTCATTGAATTTAACCTGAGGTGGTTGTACATCTCTAAAAGAGAAATTCAGGCATTTAAAAAGTCACCTTCATTCTTTTCACAATTTCTTTAAAGTTGTTTCTTTCTCAAAAATCCCCAGTGACTTATACCATATACTCTTTGATCATTTTTGGTTTGGGACGCAGTTTCCAAAGGCCTGTCAGGTTTCTGCATGTATAGTGAGCAGGGGCACTGACACCTTTGTCTCAGCTGTCTATTCAACAATGTTTGCAAAGTGAACAGCCTTGGAAGATGGAGATAGTGTCTCCCTCTGGAGCACAGAGCAGGTTTATTGACTAGCCAGCATAATGAAGATAGTATCTCCTTCTGAGGTAAAGGCCAGGCAGGTTTGCTTGCAACCCATTGTCAAAACACAGGGTTCCCCTAAGCTCAGGGTTCCGTAGCCGTGACGCCAACCCACTGTGTGCACAGCATCTCCCTGAGTCCTTGCATCTCCACACTGTGAGACCTAAAGACAAGAGGAACTATATTAATTTCTGTTGCTATTGTCAAAAAACAAAACACAACTAAAAATGTGGAGTTGGCAATGGGCAGTGGCTGGTAGAATATTGAAGAACATGATATAAACTGGCTAGATTGCCTTGAGTAGACTGTTAGTAGAAATATGAATGTGAACAACTGTAAGTGGGGACTCAGAGGGAAGTGCTGAGCATGATAGAAAAAAAACCATCTGGCCGGGCATAGTGTCTCACACCTGTAATCCCAGCACTTTGGGAGGCCGAGGCAGGCGGATCACAAGGTCAAGAGATCGAGACCATCCTGGCCAACAGATGAAACCCCATCTCTACTAAAAATACAAAAATTATCCGGGCATGGTGGTGCACACCTGTAGTCCCAGCTACTCAGGAGGCTGGGGCAGGAGAATCGTTTGAACCCGGGAGGCGGAGGTTGCAGTGAGCCGAGATCGTGCCACTGCTCTCTAGCCTGGCAACAGAGAGAGACTCCATCTCAAAAACAAAAAAACAACAAAAAAAAACTTATGAACTACCTAAATCATCATGAACAGACTATTGGTGGAACTATGGACATTAAAGGTACTGCAGATGAAAGTTAAAATGGAAATGAGGAACATGTTATTGGAAAGTGGAGAAAAGGAGATCCTTGTTACATAGCAGCAGAAAGCTTAGGTGAATTGTGCCCTGCAATTATGTAGAAAGCAAAATCTGTAAATAATAAAGTTGAATATTTAGCTGAGAGGATTTCCAAGCAAAATGTTAAAGATGAGGCCTGGTTTCTTCTTGCTGCTGATAGTAAAATGCAAGAGGAAAGATAAATTGAGGGAAGAACTTTAAGTGAAGGGGAATCAGGATTGATGATTTGGGAAATTCTCAGCCAATTACACTGCAAAAACACTAAAATTAGAAGATTCACCAGCAGGAAAGCATGCTCTGGAGAGAACGCCAAGAACATGACTAGGCAACCTTTGCTATTGTCTCAAAAGAAACAAAAAGAGTATTAAATCACACAGAGGGGCTCTCTTTGAAAAAATTAGTAGTGTGACTCATGGATCATGTTATCCATTTAAGTACAAGCTAGGAATAAAGATAGGGTTATTCAGGAGTGATCCACACAGGAACCTCTTGCCTAATGTAGTAAGTTTCTGTAATATATCCAGGAGACACCCTAGTTCTTGAAAATGTTATACCAGCAGAAACACTGCCAACTTTGAGACAGGCAGGCTGGTTGGTTTCCTGTTTTGGAGTGGTTTAGAGAAAAAAAACAAAAGCTCCTTACTCAAGTTGTAGCTTACCTAACTTCCAGCCAATCAGCAATAAAAGATCCAAGAAGTTGTTAACCACAAGTTCCTGCTTTAGGGGATTAGGGGCTTCCCTGAGGCCCCATATGCATACTTAGATTTAAACTTCAACTCATAGTTACCCCTTCCTCTGGACTGATGATTCATTTTTCCTTCCATTCTCTCCTTTTATAGGGTTGAACTGCACGTGTCCACTTGTATGCAGATGTTTTTCACCAAATGGGGATTGAAAATCCAGTATTCTTGGGATGTAAAACCCACATATATGGAGGGCTAACTTTTAATATACACAGGTTCTGCAGGACCTACTGTGGGACTTAAGTATGCCAGGATTTTGGTGTACACAGGGGGCCTGGAACCAGTCCCTTGCATATACTGAAAGACAACTATATTTGTAACTAGTATCTTATGTTGGTCACATCATTGTATTTTGGGAGAAAATAACTTATTTTCTAGTTTTATGGGTCCACAGATGGAGAGTTTTTCCCCAGCATGAATCATACCCAGGATGTCACTAACACCAAACTCAGATGGTTAAGATAAGATTTGGGACTTTTAAGCTGATAAGATTTAGGTAATATATCTGACTTTGAATTGATTCTATAGTGAATTGAGACTGTGGAGTATATTGGGATGGGGTGTATGTATTGTGCATATAGAATGATATAAACCTTTGGGGACAAAGGGAAGACTAGTAGGCTAATGGCTCCCGAAACATGTCTACATCCTAATCCCTGAAACCTGTCAATATGTTGCCTTATGTGGCAAAAGGGACTTTACAGATGTGATTAAGTGAAGGATCTCAAGATGAGAATATATCTTAGGTAACCCAGGGTCATCACAAAGGTCCTTATAAGAGAGAAGCAGGATGGCTAAAGACAGAAATGTAAAGTAGAAGAAGAGGAGCCAGAGAGTGGGAGCAACCCCTGGAAGACAGAAAAGGCAAGAAAACTGATTAATCCTGAGAGCCTCCAGATGGAATGCTGCTGTGCTGACAACTTGATTTTAGCCCACTGAAACTGATTTTAGACTTCTCTACTCTACAACTGTAAGAGAATAAATTTGTGTTGCTCTAAGTCACTAAATTTGTGGTAATTCTTTACAACAGCAATAGGAAACAAACTCAGGAACTAAGATGAGTATGAAGCATATGTGGTCTGCTGTGCTGTAATGAAGTTTTTGTCTCTGACCCAAGACTCTTGTGTCTTCTGGCAGCATCCACGAGACTATGGCAAGCTAACTTGCAGGAGGGGCAAAATCTTAGACTATTCACAGTTCTTAATATTTTGTTCATAAAAATGATAATATAGTCATGGGTATTTATCTAACTTTTAAATATCTTTCAATCTTCTGATCAATAAATCTACTTCTAAATAAGATACCACTAAGTAGCTATGAACTTTAATAATAGCCCATGATTTATATCTCATTAAATAAATTACGAATATTCATACTCAGAAGTTAAACTCTGGCCAGGCGCGGTGGCTCACACCTGTAATCCCAGCACTTTGGGAGGCAAGGCAGGTAGACCACTTGAGGTCAGGAGTTCGAGACCAGCATGGCCAACATATAGTGAAACCTCGTCTCTACTAAAAAATACAAAAATTAGCTAGGTGCGGTGGCATGTGCCTGTAGTCCCAGCTACTTGGGAAGATGAGGCAGGAGAATCAGTTGAACCCAGGAGGTGGAGGTTGCAGTGAGTCATCCAGCCTGAGTGACAGAGCAAGACTCCATCTCTCAAAAAAAAAAAAAAAAAGTTAACAAACTCAGCATTCTTTAATACTCTTGCTCTCTTGCATAAAAAATTCATGAAAATAGCATCTATTTGTAAAAATATGTTAGTCACTTTAATTACAAAAAAAAAAAATTCCATGCTTTGTTTTACTGTTTAGTGTTATAGTCTTAAAGAATGATATTTTCTTTAAAATACGTCATAGAAAAAGGATTTGTTTTAGCAAAATAATCCCTAAATGAAATCTCATGCATGACTCAGATCACCAGAATCCCTGAGATTAAGGAAGAGTCAGCACTGCCTACTCCAAGAGACATTATAAACACGGTACAACTTTTTGGGAAATAAAAAATTGGATGTGTGAAAATAAAGAACCAGAGAAAATTTCTGTGCAGTCAAATGCATTTATTTTATAGCTTAAGCAAGACAGGTGGTGAACAAATTCATAATGAAAATGCCACCCAGAGATTAACAGCTTGCCATGCATGCAACTGTGTGCACAAAACCAAGTTGTTTTAACACCAGTCTGCAGCTTTGATTCCTCCATAAATTAACTCTGTGTTGCTCACAAGTTTACATAACTCAGGCCACCCTGAATATCTGCTAGTGGGGAATTTACAACCCACTGACCATCTCAACTCAAATACAGATGACTATCACCCACACATCTGCCAAGGTAATAGCATGGCAAATAGTATTTTTCTTGTTCTGTAGTCAATGGCACAGATACACCAACACAGAGATACCCAGAAGGCACCTCCCCTCACTCAGCTGACAACCTTCCTAACTCTTCTTGGGGACAAGAGTACCATGCATGACCTATGAATTGGTACTTATTCTGAGGCACGGGATGGCTGTCCCCAGGTTAGAGCATGGGTGGTTGGAAGTTTTCAGAAAAGCTGTTTCAGCACAACCCACCAGAAACACTGGTCACCGTGACTGTGCAAGATGAGTCTCCTGACATTCTGGTAGATACTCAGACCCCCTGACTAAAGCTTGGTTCAATTAAGGGTTGAGTGGAAGGTACAGAGATTTGGGAGAGCCTACGAGAGGTATGAGGCAGTACCCTAGTTTATACTGTTTTGTGTATAGCTTAGCCTCATCTGAAGGCAAAGTCATAAATTCACAAAATATTAGAGGTGGGATGGATCACTCCAGACACGTCAACCTACACTTAAAAATGGGGCAGCCCAGAGAGGTAAAGCAACTTGCTAAAGGTAGAGCATGGTAGTGGCAGGGCCAGATTAGAACGTGGTAGGCTAATCCTCACCCAAGAATGCTGACAATAACGATTTGGCCAAATTTTTGAACAAGGAAGATGAACTAGTATAAATCAGAGGTGTCCAGTCTTTTGGCTTCCCTGGGCCACATTGGAAGAAAAGTTGTCTTGGACCACACATAAAATACACTAACACTAACGATAGCTGATGAGCTTTAAAAAAATAAAAAAAAAAAAAAAAAAAAAAAAAATTTAAATCTCATAATGTTTTAAGAAAGTTTAAAATTTGTGTTGGGCCACATTCAAAGCTGTCCTGGGACACATGCCATGGGTTGGACAAGCTTGTTGTAAATACTTTAATACCACCAAAGCTCCAAATGTATTAAAAAGCAAAAACAAAGCAAAACAAAAAACCATTCAGCTTAATCAGCTCAGCTCTATTCTAAAGGGGTCTCTTCTCTGTCTCTCTGTCTCTATCTCTGTGCCTCTCTCTCCCCCAAACACACACAGTTTTGGTGGGTGTAGATTTCTTGCCACATAAAGATAGAATCCACATCTTCAGGAAGACCCTTTACAGAGCATGTTTCTCAATCTAGGTCTTTATGTGAGGTCTGGGAAAGTGGCTTAGTTTCCAGAACAATAGGTGGTTCAGAAATCAGAAGATCATCCTCCCCAAAGGAGTTCTGGTCTGTGTTCACAAAGTTGGGGATGTCAAACTTCATGAGCCTGTTCAGCTCCTCCTCTGGCTGCCCATTGCTTCTGATGGCTTCCTGGAGTTGAACATCACTGTCAAGGGCTGTGGTCTGGTGACAAGTTTTGGCTCTGTCCAAGCGTTCCACCTCATTGATGTAGCAGTGAAAGAGAGACCTGGACTCCTCGTTGCCTTGGCGAGAAAATACCTTATCTGGCTCCAGAGGTCTTCCAAAGTCTGACACAAAGCTGTTCATTCTGAATCTCTTCTCTGAGGACTCTGCATTGCTATTTTAAAAAAAGAAAACAAAAGATTGCTTACACTCCAGCCCATTCACCTGCAGAATCATGGTTTTCTGCATGTAGGGCAGGCCAGCACATTTCCACTAAGCACCTATTGATTGTAAGCCCCTTGCATGGCATGCAGACAAACATAAGAAATAAGAGAAATCCCTTCTGAACATGTACAAATACACCCAAGGAAAAGGGTTCAAGATGAGGGCCCCCAGATCATCCTGAAAACAGACACCTTGCTGAGGAATTCCCCAGTATTCTGCAGACACACTAGTATTTTTCAGTGGAATTCTTGGACCATTCGCATCACACTTACTTGAAGTGCTTCTTAAAATGCAGATTCCTTGGTCACAGACCCTCAGAATCTGTGAATGTAGGTTCAGTAATATGCATTTTCATATATTCTCTAAGGATCATTACTCATACCGAAGTTTAGAACCACTGGCCTAAAAATAATAATACTATCTCATAGGGGTACATTAAATATTTGTCAAAATGCTATAATAACAATTTTTCTCACTTTATTCTCTAAAGTAACCAAAACAGTCACTTAGGGCAAGAATTATGATATGCATTTTACAAACATATGAACTAAGGTAAGGAACAGTCAAATTGCCCACTTAGTCACACAATCAGTTTGTGATATGAGTGGGAATAAATCTAAGATTCCTAATTCCTTGTTTCCTTTAATGTGGAACAAATAAGCAGTTCAAGGGGAATAAATGAGTCAATGAGTGAATAAAACAATTCTCAATTAGTCCCACAAGTGCATGAAAGAGCCCAGGTAAGCTGAGAACCTGATACTCCATCTACTTTCATCACCATCCTTTCCAGGCAATTCTTAAATAAGAATTGCCCGTGCACAGGTAGTGACTCCTTAAGGGCACAAATCATTACTGAACGTGTTTTCAAGTCCAGAATACAACCTGCCAAAAATCAGGCTCTGGAGTCTGTGCTCAACAGATTTGTAATCCTCTCAGTGTTTCCAGTTCTTAAATCTCTTCCTTACCATCCTATCACTCAGGGAAAAAGCACTTATGACCAAATTCTGTAAGAATCTGGGCAGAGGAGAAAAAAAAAAACAAAAAACCACAAGTCTGGAAAACCTGCTCATATATCACTAAACTCCAAATTATCAAAATCACCTGGACTTCAGAGGTCAGCAACCCTAGAAGGTTTGTAATCCAGCTAGCTGAAGGAATTTTAATATCAGATCTATCTCCTAGCGTGGTTACCTGGGTGACATCAGGCAAGAAATCCTCTCAGAAACCTGCATTTTTCCTTTTAGTAATAAGCCTGGTTAACAATTTTCATTGCCCACTACACAAACATGTTGTGAAGGTCAAGGCTTTATGCAAGAATCCAATATTCTACTATGTCAGGTATTCAGAATTCAGAGAAAATCATTTTAGAGAGACTGAAGATTTATGCTTTAGTGCAAATTTACATGGTCTTCTTTGTCTTTCTGTAAATGAGTTTCCCTCAATTGTCATTTCACTCAGGTATAAAAGATATTTGAGAAAAGGGATGAGTGTGCCAGCAACCTGCAACCTGATAAACTAAAATGTCACCTAGGAAAAAGACTGGCTTAAAGCTGTGAAAGGAAAGTATCTTGGACCCCCCCCAAATCACTAAGCTAAAGGGGAAAGTCAAGCTGGGAGCTGCTTAGGGCAAACCTGCCTCCTATTCTATTCAGTCACCCCTCTGCTGACTGAGATAAATGTATATCTGATTGCCTCCTTTGGAGAGGCCAATGAGAAGCTCAAAAGAATGCAACCATTTGTCTCTTATCTCTACTTACGACCTGGAAGCCCCCTCCCTGCTTCAAGTTGTCCCGCCTTTCCAGACTGAACCTGTTGCAGGAAGTCAGGGACCCCAAATGGAGGGACTGGCTGAAGCCATGGCAGAAGAACATAAATTGTGAAGATTTCATGGACATTTATTAGTTCCCCAAATTAATACTTTTATACTTTTATAATTTCTTACACCTGTCTTTACTGTAATCTCTGAACATAAATTGTGAAGATTTCATGGACATTTATCACTGCCCTAATCAATACTCTTATAATTTCCTGTGCCAGTCTTTAATCTTGTTATGTTACATTAATCCTGTCATCTTCATAAGCTGAGGATGTATGTCGTCTCAGGACCCTGTGATGATTGCATTATCTGCACAAATTGTCTGTAAAGCATGTGTGTTTGAACAATATGAAATCTGGCCACCCTGAAAAAGAAGAGGATAACAGCGATGTTCAGGGAACAAGGGAGGTAACCATAAGGTCTGACTGCCTGAGGGGCTGGGCAGAATAGAGTCATATTTCTCTTCTTGCAGAGAGCAAATAGGAGAAATATTGCTGAATTCTTTTCTCAGCAAGGAATAGCCCTGGGAAAAGGATGCATTCCCAGGGGGTGGTCTCTAAAATGGCCGCTCTGGAAGTGTCTGTCTTATGCAGTTGAAGATAAGGGATGAAATACACCCTAGTCTCCTGCAGAGCTCTCAGGCTTGCTAGGATTAGGAAATTCCAGCCTAGCAAATTCTAGTCAGACTGGTTCTTTGCTCTTGAACCCTGTTTCCTGTTAAGATACTTATCAATGACAATGTGTGCCTAGCGGGATGGAACCTCATCAGTAATTCTAATTTCACCCTGGCCTTGTGATCTTGCTCTGTCATTTGCCTTGTGATATTTTATTGCTCCTTGAAGCTTGTGATCTTTGTGATTTACTCCCTGCTTGTACCCCCCTCCCCTTTTGAAATCCCTAATAAAAACTTGCTGGTTCTGAGGTTCAGTGGGCATCACAGAACCTGCTGACATGTGATGACACTCCCTG